TTGTGATCTAACTCTTACTGGAATTTGTGCGCTGCCTATGAAAATATAACTGAAACAAAGAGATCTGCAAATGAATTCAAGTCAGTCTCCAAGTAAAGTGTGCTTCCAGGATCTAGGAACATTTAATCGCGTTGTTTAATGTGATTAATTCAACAGGGAAATGGCATTAAAGATGATGTTATTACCAGCTTTCTATTTTTCCTCATTAAAATGATCCCTCTCATCTCATCTTGAGTAAACAACCTTTTATAGGAAATGTATGGGAGGAATGAGGTGACATGACAATGGCTTTATCATTCAGATCTCACATCAACACAACTTGCTAACGTATCACAATGTCCCACACCAGTGATCAGCTAAAAAGTCACCCAGAGAGTCTCTGATTCAGATTTGAAAAAAGGTTGTCAAACAAGTGGGTTTTGGAAAAATGACTACATGTAGTATCGACACAATCCCTGACTCCAACACTGGTCATTCACTGGGGACGGAGAAAAAATTAATAAAAAGGATAACATCTTTACACAACATATGCACTTGTATGTTGTGTTTAATGTGTGTGGATTTGAAACTGTGCCAATAATCATTGTAAATGCGTTCACAATAAAACTGCACACTGTGTTTTTTTGCATTAGTGTGGGTCTTAATCTGATTTAACTGCTTGTTGCTTTACTAAATTCATCAACTAATTTCTTTCTTTCTTTTTGGCTGTTGTGTAGTTACTGTACAGGTGAGTTTAAAAGGCCAGTTGTCTCTGTGTCACATCATTAATGCTGTGCTGCTACTGAGAGGCTTTATTCATGCAAACTGTTAAGTGAAGCGGTCACTAATGAGTGAAGCTGCCTGGAGGTTGTTGGTTTGAAACTGTTCAGGGGGGGGGTGCTTAGTCTCCTCCCAGCATAAAGGTTCCTGGTTTAAATCCCATCTGGGACTTAAACAGGTATTCCATTTTTTTCCTGTTTTAAAAAAAAAAAAAAAAAAGTACTGTATATCAGGTTAATTGTCTGTTCTGTTTGTCTCTGTGTTGGTGATGGACTGCTGACCTGTTCAGGGGTTAGCATCTCCTGTCCAGTAATATTCTGGACCGGGCCCCAGTGACCATAAACTGGAGTGAGTAAATTAAAAAAATGGATGGAAAGTTCTTGAATGACTGAATTTTTAGGATGTTCTGGTGCCATGTGACACAGGTCATCAGCAGTATACCTGTGTCCAGTCCCCAGAGGGCAGTTTTGACTTTTTATGGACAACAGCCTTTAACCAGATTACCAGAGAACGGCTAACCTGCTTCATGAGTCGACATAAGTCCTTCTCATCACTGCATTTAATGAATTCATCATTTCATTATTGATTTAAATGGCTCACATTAACATCAATTCGCTTTGATTTCTCCTTTTTTTCTATACCATAACTCAGTTTTATATTCTGTGTAAAACATTATGATTCATAAAATGATTTACTATTCTTGGCTTCCGACATTTTCTTTCCATCACTTTATCCATATCCTTCCTTCCATTTTCTATGCCCACTTTATCTAATTGAGGGTCTCACTGCAACTGTATTTTTCTAACCGGATTTCTCTCTGATCATTTTCTATCAGCAATGTCTAGAGTATACTTATTATCAAGTGTCTGTGACAGATAACAGAACATCTTCTTCTAAACTCAACAGGAGAATAAATATTCCTGGAAAAATATATTTGGCCCATTGCTTAAAAACTCTTACTGTTCATTTAGATCTGTTCTTTGCTTTAAAAAAACAAATAACCGATTAAATGAAAATGAGTACTTTTTAGTATTCCAATAAATTACAGACCACGCTTTCTAAATGTATTTTTTAATATTAACTCGGTTCTTTTGTGGGACGTGTACCTGTGCTGTAAGGGACTTTTCTTCAGACAGAAGCTTCTCTGTCACGCTGACAGGCCATGATGAGGTGACTTTTTTTTTTTTTTGGGGGGGGGGGGGGGGGGGGGGAAGGTTGGGGGGTTGGGGCGGTTTTTGGGGGGGGGGGGGGGGGGGGGACCTGTGTCCTGCTGTCCATGTGATGCTCTCCTGCTGGGTTTTAGTCATCTCTCCTCTTCATATAGTTCAGCCACTCCAAAGGTTTTATACTCACACCCAGACAAAAAACATTTGCTCTGTATTTGTAAAATTTCTATTCAATAAATACGATCAAAATACACACATTCTTAAAAAATTATAACGTAGAAATGAATGCTTAGACTGGAATCAATGCTTCCCCTTCAGTACAAACATAATTTGGTTTGAACAGAATTTTTGTTTCGTGATCCAGATTCCATCTTGTTTCAAAGATATGTGTTCCTGTTGACTTCTCAGATTAAGAAGTAGCGTTTTAAATGGGATAATCCAATTTTTGGAAGCATTCAGGAAGCCTTAACTTTTTTTCTAAAACACTGATTTGTGTAACCTTTTTTTCCTGCACATCTGCAATGGAGCTTGTAAGTGGAAAGTCCCGCTAATTGCAAATAAAATTAACATGAAAACAACTAATGTTATTTGAGGGCTGACTCAATAAGAAAAACAGGTCCTCACTAGGAAAACTGTGATGATGAGATGAAAGGGCCAAAAAAACCATAAATGCTTCGCTGCCATTGCCAAGCCCATTTTAAGCATCATTTTGTTTCTGTTAGTGTTCACTATGCAAACACAGCAGCAATTCAGAGCCTAACAGGCGTGGACAGTGGGAACGCTGCAGAATACGGCGAGCATAATTAATCTTGCCTTACTCAGTAATCCACTTGGCAATTCACTGCCAGCTGTACCGGGACTCGCCAATGAAAAAAAACAAGTCTTTTTTTTGCCTGTAAAGAATGGAAAGTGTTGTTACGGCACTTAAAGCAGGCATTGTACATTTGTGGGAATTTTTGGGAATATTAATTCCGTTCTGTCAGGGAGGTGGGTGTTGACGGGAGGACTCAGTCGCGGAA